ATTCTTTTTTGTTGTGAATTGCAAAACCATTCGGGGCCCTGGTTTCGTTGATTGTGTTGCCTGGGTGTTATGATTATCATGTTTTTCTTTTGGTTTTGACTGATGTTCCTGTTTTGGTTGGTTTTCGGCGCCCTCGCTCCCCCAGCGCCGGATCCACCTCCAAACCAAACAAAAACAACAAAACCAATGGTTGTCAATAGTTTTCCATTGGAAACGTTGAAAAACCAGTGGCTTTCAATAGGACAATTGTTATTTTATTTGGCTTCTGCCAAAAAGCAACATAAGAAACAACGCAAGACGAAACAGAAGATGAAGAAGAACAAGAAAAGCTCGAAGGGGGATCTTGGGAGCCCCCCCCCTACCATATATATAAGCAGACGTAAAACATTTAGGATTGTATACACATGATACAGACAATATATAGAAATATACGTACCTGTACGACCACCCTTTGGGTGATAGGGAGGTGAGGGGGGGGGGCCAACGTCGCACTCGATCGATATCACTCTCGATATCACTATCGATCTCACTATCGATCTCACATTCGGTCTCACTATCGATATCACTATCGATATCCCATTCGGTCTCACTATCGATTTCCCTATCGATCTCACAATCGGTCTCACTATCGATCTCACTATCGACATCACGATCGATCGCACAATCGATCTCACATTCGGTGTCACTATCGATCTCACTATCGATCTCACGATCGCTCTCACAATCGATCTCACATTCGGTCTCACTATCGATCTCATTATCGATATCACAATCGCTATCACATTCGGTATCACTATCGATCTCACTATCGATATCACTATCGATCTCTCCATCGGTCTCACTATCGGTCTCACTATCGATATCACTATCGATCTCACCATCGATCTCACATTCGGTCTCACTATCGATCTCACTATCGATCTCCCTATCGATCTCACTATCGATCTCACGTTCGGTCTCACTATCGATATCATTATTGATATCACAATCGATCTCACTGTCGATCTCACTATCGATCTCACAGTCGTTCTCACCATCAATATCACTTTCGGTCTCACTATCGATTTCACTTATCGATATCACAATCGATCTCACATTCGGTCTCACTATCGATATCACATTCGGTCTCTCTATCGATATCAGCATCACCATCATCATCATCATCATCAGCACCATCACCATCATCATCATCATCATCATCATCATCATCATCATCATCATCATCATCATCATCATCATTAATATCATCATCATCGGGACACCGACGGGACACCGATGGGACACCGGCGGGACACCGGCGGGACACCGCGCGCCACCGGCCGCTCGGTGGAGAATCATTTGGTCCGGCCGCGCCTCAGCCACAGAGGACACCACCGGGACACCGGCGGGACACCGCGCGCCACCGGCCGCCCGGTGGAGAATCATTTGGTCCGGCCGGCCTCAGCCACAGGAGACTTTCCTCTCGCCCGCCCACGCAGCTTCGCCTCGCCCGCACGCACGGCACGCACGAACACGAAACCGAAATCGATTTCCCGGTAGGGGGGCTCTCCGTTCCACTTCGATCTCACCCCCTCACCTCCGATAACATCAAGGATTCGTGCTCCAGGTGGGGCCCAATCTATAGGAGCATATGTAAAACACATGGGATTGGAGCCACTCCTGTTGCCTTGTGAGGCCTCCTGCTCCTGGGGCCTCTCGGGGCCTCCTGTTGCCTGGGCCTCCTGGCGCTTCCTGTGGCCTCCTGGGGCCTCCTGTGGCTTCCTGAAGCATCCTGGAGCTTCCTGGGGCCTCCTGGAGCCTCTTGGGACATCCTGTGGCCTCTTGAATCGTCATGTGGCCTCCTGATTGCACCTGGGACCTCATGTGGCCTCCTGGGGCCCCCTGGAGCCTGCTGGAGCCTCCTGTGGCATCCTGGGGAGACTATGTGCCCACGAGTCTGGCCACCAAAACAGGCAAACCGATCGAGGTATCTTCAAAATCTGGCCCCCCTGGGGGGCGAAAATGAGCGCCTCGCTCGAGACCTCCTCCAAATCTGCTCCGACAGCGGAGGATGCTGAGGACCAAAACAGGCAAACGGCCTGAGACATCCCCGCCATTTGGGCGCGAACGGAGGCCGTGCAGGACCCCTGGCGGCCCCCCCCTTGGAGGCGCCTCGCACAAGACATCCTCAACATCTGATCCGAAAACGGAGGATGTTGGGGACCAACACAGGCAAACCGCCTGAGACATCCCCACCATTTTGGCGCGAACGGAGGCCGTGAGATACCCCCTGGCGCCCCCACTTGAGGGTGCTAAAACCAGCAAGCCACTCGAGACATCCTCGCCATCTGTTCATCATCTGCTCATCATCATCTGCTCATCATCATCATCATCATCATCATCATCATCATCATCATCATCATCATCATCATCATCATCATCATCATCATCATCATCATCATCGTCATCGTCATCGTCATCGTCATCATCAGCAGCAGCAGCAACAGCATCAGCATCAGCAGCAGCATCATCATCATCATCAACATCATCATCATCGCCATCATCATCATCATTATCATCAGCATCAGCATCATCATCATCATCATCATCATCAACATCATCATCATCATCATCATCATCATCATCATCATCATCATCATCATCATCCATCGTCCATCATCCAACATCCATCATTCACCATCACCATCATACTCACATCATACTCTCATTATACCATGGTCATCATCATGACACTCATCATCATCATAATCATCAGCATCATCGGCATCATCATCATCATCATCATCATCATCATCATCATCATCATCATCATCATCATCATCATCATCTAGTGCAGAGAGGGAGGAGGGGAGGGTGGTCCGGCGCGGTCGTAGAATAACAAGAACCCCATCCTTTGGATATGGGGAACAACACTCAGTTTCAGACTGTTCGTTCTTTCCTGCTCGCGTGCCACACAACACCTGTATCCACAACCCTCGGTACCCGCCCTTTTCGTCTCCGATCGTGCCCCCTTCATCGTGCAAAGTGTGTATTTTGTGCAGCCCCTAGGGCAGGGAAAGAGAAGACGGATGGAAGGAAGGGACAAGGGGGAGGGAGGAAGATGGAGCACGAAGAAAATAGCAGGAGGGGGCTAGGAGCAGAAAACACGTGGCAGGATCTGACGGGCAGATCCCGCGGGTAGACCCTAGCGGGCGGGTCGGGAAGGCGGGCCTACACGGCCAGGTCGAGCAGGCGGGTTGCTAAAGCGTGCGTCCTGCATGAGTCGCGAGGAAGTCTCGAGGGATAGCGCGATTCCCCAATAAATCTAAAAGATATCCACAGCGAGAGCGTGATTCCTGAGTGTCGAGGGCGTGGCGTCTGGATAAACTGCAAGGGTGTCCCACGCGAAAGCGTGACTCCTCGTTTTAGTATGGGGAAGTCCCTCGCGAGAGCGCGATTTGGGAATAACTTGTGGGCAAATAGCAGTCGGGAGCCGTTGTTGTTGTAAACTGGGGGCTAGGGGCAGGGGCACAGTTCGAGCAGGAAGATTTTCCCAAGTAAAAACACAGCGAGCCCCAAGAGGGCACTTCAATTGAAAAAAACACTTCTGTTACGCGAATGCGTGAGTCCTGCATAATTCGCCAAGAAATCTGGGGCGAGAGCGCGATTCACCAGTAATTTTAGGGAGGTCCCAGGCGAGAGCGCGATTCCTGAATGGCGAGGGCGTGGCGCATGAACGAAGCGAGAGGAAGTCACAGGCGAGAGCGCGATCCTTGGATAAACTGCAAAGAATTCCCTAGCGAGAGGCCCACGGCTTGCTCTTCCGCGTCTCCGCGCGCGGGAGCGCGAAGACGACCGAGCTTCGCGACCAGCGAGGCCAGCGCAGGTTCAGCCGGACCCAGTGCGCACAGCCCAGAGAGGACAACCCCGGAGCGGGACAGACCGGGCTCCCCGACGTCGCCCCTGGGAGACCGAAACGGTCAGCGGCCGATCGCCGCGAGCTGTGCGGGCGCGCGGAGGGGCGTTCTGTGCGTTGAGGCAGCAGCGCAGCAGTCCCCCACGTCCTCCAGCCACGGTGACGGGCCCGTCGCCCTGTGCCCTATGGACCGAAGAGAACAAAGATCCGACCCACTGCATCGGCGTCGGGTCCCTCCTCACCCGTCTGCTCGCCGCCCCACGCTCCTCCCCTCCTCCTCCGCCCTTCTTCGTTTCACCGCCTCCTACACGCCGCAACTAGGCGCGCCACGTGGCCCCGACCGGCGAGCGCGCCTGCGCCCTGCACGTCAGCCAACACCTTCTCCCAGGCACGGGCTTAGGGGGGAGGCGCGGTTGGAGAGGAGGGGGTGGGCCGTCGCCGGCTTCGACCGAGGCGGGGTACGGGGGTACGAGAGCCTGCGGTGCAGGTTGCGATGCGTGGCTGGGCAAAGCATCATTCTTTTTGAGGCCCCAACTCTCCAGTGACCCCCTCAAGCGCCGCCGCGCCGCCCCCCAACGGCCCGCCATGCTGGGGCCGGTTCAGGTTGGTGCCCCGTCAAGAGCGTGCCCGCCTGTACCGGAGGGTGGCGCCAGGGGTGTTCATTTGTTAGCTGGGACCTCTCCCTCCTCTCGCCCGCTACTCCTCGTCGTGCCTGCTGCCCTCCTTCTCCTGCTCGACTTTCCCTCTCATCCTCATGTTACATTGTCCTTCCATGTCGTCCCCGTTCGTCGGATTTCCTCCTCCCTAGGGTAGCCCCTCCTTTTGGCTGTGGTACCGCCCCCTTTTACAGCCCCTGGCTCCCCCCCAGCGATGCTCTGCTGCTGCGATGAGGAGCGGCGGGGGCGAGGGAGGGCTTCGATCCGAGAGGAGGCACCAATCCGCAGTCCTGAGTCCTGAGGAGGAGAAACTGCGAGCTCGGTCGCTCACAGTCTGGCCGACCTAGAAAGTAGGAGGCCCCCGCCCCCTTCGTGGAGGAGGGGGAGGGAATGTGTGAAGAGGACGGAGTGGCCTGGACTGCAGGGTGGGGCGCAAGGGCCGCTCGGTCCTCCAACCCCTGCAGGAAGCAGATCTGGCACGAGTCAGCGAAGTCCTCGCTGCCGACATCCCTGGCGAAATCTCCTGCGGAGAACGCTGGGGCGGGGAGGGGAAGGACGAGGATGAAGAGGAAGAGAAATTTTCATGGGTTATAACGAATCCGTTTTCCCCCAGTTGCCCGGGGTGAAAAAAGCCTGTCAGACATTTTGATGTCCCCGAGCCAAATTTCTCAATCCCTTGAAATCCAAAATCCCACAGGTGAGGGGGCAGGGGGGTAACGAGCTCGCAAACGCACCTCTCGGGACATCGGAGCCTCCAAATCCACCCTCGGCCGCCACGGTGTCCAATCTGCCTTCTGAGATGGCTCCAGACCGGCTAACAAGCCGAAGAGGCCTCAAGAACACCCAAGATGGCATCAAGACGACCCAGGATGCCCCCAAGACGCCCTAAGAGCGCCCCAAGAGAGCCCCAAAGAGGGCCTGAAGAAGCACAAAGCATTGATTGTGCCGTTGGTTTGTAAATGATGTTCGCGTTCTTTCCATTAGGGCCTTCTGAAACTACAAGGCGGTCCGACAGGCCCCCCTGACTGGCCCAAGATGGCCAAAGAGGTTGCCAAGGAGGCCCAGGGACGGCCCAAGACAGGCCCAAGACGGCCGAAGAAGCAGCGAAGATGACCAAGAGTGGATTCAAGAGGGCCCTCAGAGGTGCTGAGCAGAGGCCCAGCAGGGTGAACTCGCAGGGACCCTGGAGACCGCCAAGAAGCCCCCAAAGCGCCACACAAAGCCCGGACAAGTTCGGAAAATATTGCAAGAGGCCGTCTTCTAGGCCACGGAGCCTCGCAACACACGCGGAGAAAAAGGAGGACGAATCCGCAACAACTACACGCAGGCAGCACGACCGGAAGCGGAAAACAACACATACAAGATCGGAAGTCGCACCATCTCCTCTTCAGGGGGTCGGCGCAACGGCTTAAGCCTCTTGCATCTAAGATGCTCTTGGGTGGGGGGTCCAGGGCAAAGGCGTGGGCTCATCTGAGGGGGGGAAGACAAATGTCGCCCAAGGGCCTTCTTCCGAGCAGACACGCAGTGGGCCTGGGTGGCGAGGAAGTTCACTGGCTCCTCCTATTTCACACGCTGATGTTCCCTGTCCTCCTCCTCCTCATCCTCCTTCACTCCAGCTTCTCCTCCTTGTCCTCCTCCTCCTCCTCGTCCTCCTCCGCCATCCTCATAATCATCACCCCCATAACCCTACTCCTCCTTCTCCTCCCCCTGATCATCATCACCATCAGCATCATCACCATCACCATCACCGTCAACATCATCAGGATAAGCATCATCATAATCATCATCACAATCATCATCATCAATATCATCATCACCATCACCATCACCATCATCATCATCATCATCATCATCATCATCATCATCATCATCCTCATCCTCATCCTCATCCTCATCCTCATCATCATCATCATCATCATAATCACCATCGTCATCATCCTCATCAGAATCAAGATCGTCAAATCTCCTTCGTGAAACACTACACCACCGCCACCGCCCGCTAAAACTAGCAGTTCCGATCATACTCTGGATCCTAAGCAGGAACCGAGGTCACACGAACCCGCAGATCACACCCCGCGATGCGCGACGCGCGATTGCCTTCGCGTCCTCACGCTCTCGCGCCGCTCACCTAGAGAAGGGCAACCGTTTTGGCCCAGACCGCCAAGCGCGAAGCGCGATTATCTTCATGTCCACGCGGGTGTCCCAGGGAGCTCAGACCTACAATAGCATCGGAGGCACCCGAACCATCTTCGGCATCCGATGCAATTGTATGTTGCGGGCGCTGCAGTGGCAAAATGCTGGTCGTGCTTGAGACTGACATAAAGCTGGCTGAACAGCAACAGGCCACGACAGAAACATTTGGGTGCCTGCGCCCCTCCCCAAGAAGGTAGTTCATCGTCTGGATTCGGATCTCGCCGCGGCGGAGGGTAAGCGAGAAGGGAGGAAAGGAAGACACGTCGGAGCAGAGAGAGAGAGAGAGAGAACGAGACAGGCAAAGACGAATAAGAGAAACACACCTTATATATATACACATACATACATACATACATACATCTAAATACACATATGTACAAAAATGCAGCGGCCCTTCCCGCCATGCACCTTGGTCCTTAATGTTTGGAATGCAGGCGGAAGGGAAGGAAGGTCAACCTGCAATCTTGTTTGCTGTCATCGTCGTCAAACTGATATTATGCATCATCCTTCCGTCATGCTGCATGTCCCTGTTTCTCATTCCCGCGCTACCATGCGAATTTGTTCCCATCCTCCTTAGCTTTTTTTGCGCAGGCTCCTCCGTGGAGAGCCTCTTGGGGGCTACTTGGGGCCTTCTGAAGACCTCTTGGGTTCCTTCTGGGCGCCTCTGGGGGATTCCTTGGGCCACCCTGCTTCCAACCGAGGTCTCCATTCACGACCGGGTCACGATTTGGAATGCTTCGGGGGACGTCTTTGGGCCATCTTGAGCCGTCAAATGGCTCTCTTCGGGCCATCTTGGCGCCCTGTTGGGCCGTCTTGGGGCTTTCCTGGACTGCCTGCAAGCCCTTTGGGGTAGTTTTGGGGCGACGGTGTGGCCCCGTGGGCGGTCTCGGACGCTAGGCAGACCGAAGAACGGAGCGTTCCCAGAATCATAGAAAACCATTGGGAATCAATGCGTTCTTGAATTTCGAATGCCTCTTAATGGGTCTTCTTTGGGTCGTCTTCGGGCGGCTGATGGGTGTCTGGTGCCTCTTGGGGCTCTCGCGGGGCCACGGGGCCGTTCGGCCGCCCTCCTGACCGATGTGAGTCTGGCGTTTAGGCCCAGCAGGGGCTTCCGGGAGCCCCAGAAAATCCAGGAGACCTTCTGCAAGGGCGTCCAGGGGGGCCCCAGGGCCACGGATATTGGGGGTCCCGTTTTGGGAAGGAGGGGGGGGATTTTCCCCGCCCGCGGAGTGCGACTCTATTTTTCAAAATACGTACATATACGCCCATACGCCCCCAGCACGCCGTGTTCAATGATCGTCAACTCTCGGTTTCTGATGATCGTGAAGGCCCGCTCCATACCAATTATATGTCCTCCCCCTCCCTCTTCGCTCCCCCTCAAGTTTCCCCCAGCTTCTCCTCATGACCGAAAGGAGTTATTGGGATTTTAATCGCATTCGCAGAATATCCCCATAAGATCGCAGACGGCCCCGACCCAGAGGAAAACACATGTCAACCGAAGCGGGCCAGACCCCATATTCAGAAGATCCCGATCCGATTCCAACATGACCTCACGGATAATTACATAATTATAGAACCACGCGCGCTTCGCGCGCGCCTAGGTTCTGGGGAGGCCCAACCCTTGATCAGCACTGACCAGGACGCATCCATTCGATTCATTGTGAGAAATGCAAAATTGTGAAACGAATTCAATCAAGTGGCCGGCGACGCAACGCAACATTGTTATGGAAACTGGTTGCGAGGGCAACGCGACACAAAATATTGCAAGCTGAAGTGACCGAAGCATACACAAGGCAACGCAGTGGCATACAAGTGAAGGCGCAGCACCACGATGTGAACTAATGCGGTGCGAATCACGAAACAGCGCACGTGAACACGCGCCGCAAAACAATACAGCGCAAGACAATGCAGGGACGAAAAGGAACACCAGGCAAGGGGGAGCGGCGAAAGGAAGAACAGAGGAAAGGGACGAATAACGAGGAAACGGTAGCTAGGAGTGCGTGCACGCTCGCGCCAGCCGACTGGATGGGGGGAGGGATCAACTGGACCAAAACATTGCGAACTCCATTTCTGTTCAAGTGGGGGCGGGCGCCTTTAATTCAGTTAGGCGGGAAACGGGGCGCGGGAGGAAGGAGTGAAGAAGAGATATGTGGAGCGGGCAAAGGTGGAAGCCCAAGAAGAGAGCAGGAAAAGAGAGAAGGCGCAACGAATGGCGATGGGGGGGAGGAGAAGGAGGCTTCTAGGATACCTGTATGCGCCGCTTGGGATTCCTCTTCGAAGTATCTTGGAAGCAGTTGAACTGGGGCCTCTCACGGCCTCCTTGGGCTTTCTTGTGAGCCCCCTGGGAGCCTCTCGGCGCCTCTTCAGGGGGGCCTGTTTGCGGCCTTGGTCGTTGTGGGGCAGAGGACTCGAACTGTCAGGTCAGGTTCCTCCTCTCGGGGCCCTCTTAGGCTGTCGTCGGCGGCTTCGTGGGCCGTCTTTGGACCCTTTTGAACGGTATCGGTGCCCTCTGGGGCCGCTTCCACGCTCTCCAGGGGACCTGCGGGAAGCGTCGAGGGCTGCATCGGGAAGTCAGAAGCTACCGAAAGCGACAACGATAGAATCTGGCCAGGAACTTTCGAATCTATATATATATATATATATGTATACTGGAGCCCACGGGCGCGCTACGCGCGCGCGTAGGTTCTAGTCATAGCTTCTCCAGGGCTCTCCGCAACCACAGCCAATCTCTACGGCTGCAAGTCCGAAGAGCCCCGGCGCGACTCCTTTTCCGTGCTGCTCTGCGTTCCTTCCCCGAAGGAGATCGCACTGGAGGTCTTTCGCAGTCGTCGTCGTTGTCGTCGCATTCGACGTCGACGTCGTCGTCGTCGTCGCAGTCGTCGTCGCAGTCGCCGTCGCAATCTCACTCACGTCGTCGGCGCAGTCTCGGTCGTCGTCGTCGTCGCCACAATCTCAGTCGTCGTCGTCGTCGTCGTCGTCGTCGTCGCCGCAGTCGCAGTCATCGTCGTCGTCGTCGTCGCAGTCGCAGTCGTCGTCGTCGTCGTCGTCGTCGTCGTCGCAATCGTCGTCGTTGCTCAGATGCCGAAAACGATGAAAAACTGTCGTCCTGATTTTTCAGGACTTCCCCCAGCAGGCCGCCGCTGCAGGGCAAGTCTGGGGCGGGCTCAGCACGCTCCTACTCCTCCTGCTCCCCCATATCCTCCTCCTCCTCCTCCTCCTCCTCCTCCTCCTCCTCCTCCTCCTCCCCCTGCCATTCCTGTTCCTCCTCCTCCTCCCCCTGCCATTCCTGATCCTCCTGCTCCTCCTCGGGAGCCCTCGCCCCATTGCGCGGGAGTGGACCCAAGCCGGTCCCCAAGCGTTGCGTTTGAGGGGGGAGGGCTTGGGCTCGTCCCGCCTGGCACTCTGCACCTCGTAGAGTAGAAGACCAGGCCTACCATAGTGCGCAAGAGCCACGGCTTCAACATCGACGCAAAGACGTCCATGCCAGGAGTACAGTACACGTTGGAGGAGAATGACACTTCACCGATCGAGAGCGGCGCCGAGGGCGATTGCGAGCCCACTTTCGACGACATCATCAATGGCAAGTTCGACAATGCGGAGGGCATCTTCCCGCCCGCCATCAGCAACACCGAGGGCGACTTCCAGCCCTCCTTCGCGGGCGACTTCGCGCCCACCCTGAAGAGTGACACCGAGGGCGATTTCCAGCTCCTTTCCAAGAATGACTTCGAGGGCAACTTCGAGCCCGCCTTCGACTTCGACACCGAGGGGCTCGCCACGGGCGACACTGCGGACCGCTGTGCGTCCGACGTGGAGGTTTTCGGCGACCCCGACAAAAAGGGCCACATCGGGCCCGAGCAGGGCGGGAAGAGGCAGCACACGGAGGACCAGCTCGCGACCCTGGGCGCTGATCGTTTGGCGGTCCTGAGGCGCTTTGGCTACATAGCTTGAGGAAGATCGGCACGGCCTCCATGTACATCATAGGTCGGTGCATTGGCTACTTCATCAACGTGGAGAACAATTTCGAGCCATTTTCGGTTCAACCCGCGCGTCTCAGTCCCGCGCGGCCTCCGCGGTTAGGAAGAGCCTGGGCGTGCGCGGTGCACTGAAAAAATCCTCCTCCTCCTTCTCCTCCTCCTCCTCCTCCTCCTTCTCCTTCTCCTTCTCCCCCCGCGCAATTCCGGGGGCCAGCCGGGGACTATAGTTAATATCTGGAGGCCCTGCCGCCCGGCAGCTGCGGCGCTCGAGGAGGGGGAGGAGGAGGAGGATCATGAGGAGGAGGAGGAGGAGGAGGAGGAGGAGGAGGGGAGGAGGAGGAGGAGGAGAAGGAGCAGGAGGAGGAGGAGGAGGAGGAGGAAGGAGGGGGAGGAGGAGGAGGATGAAGGAGGAGGAGGAGGAAGAGGGCACGAAGCGCCGGTCTCACGAGAGAGGACGTCTGGGGCGGTTTTGGGAGCCCCTTGGGCTGCCGTGCAGCGCGCCCAAGCCGTCTACCAGTGTATTGTAAAATTGTAAGTTGTCCATAGGATTTTGGCGATTTCGGCCTTCGGGGGCTCTCTTGGGAAGTCTGTTGGGCCTCTCTGGGTGCGCTTTGGGAGCCTCTGAGGCTGTCTTTGCGCCATCTTGGGCGTGTTGCACCCCTCTTGGGCTATTTTCTCGAGCTGCAGCGTGCTTGGACAGAGTCTGAGTGCGGTCTCGGGGCCCCTGTCCTCCCATGCGGTGCGGAGGTCCTTGGGCCCAGCCAGGGAGCCTCGGTCCCCCGGGATATATATATACACAAAACATATGCACATATACATATACATAAATATATACGTATACCTATACATATACCTATACATATGCATATACCTATACATATACATATACATATACATATACATATGCATATACGTATACATCTACCTATACATCTACATACACATACACATTCACATTCACATACACATATACATATACATAAACATATACATATACATATACAGATACATGTACATATATATATGTATATGTATAGATGTGTGTGGCCTCCTCAGCACCTCTTGGGGACGTGCCAAGGGCTCTCTTGGGGCGCTTGCCGTGCTGAAACCATCTTGAGCACTCTTGGATCGTCTCCGGGCCCTCTTGGCCTTGACGAAAGCTGGCGGCGGGCCCTTCAGGGTGGGTTCAAGATAAAGCGCAAGTGGGTGAAAGGCGAATGGTTTCCCCAAAGCTGGCGGCGCCCCCAGGATGAGTCGTAGCCAAGAGTCAGCACAGAGTTCCCGATGCGAGTTCGCCAGAATGAATGAATGGAGCGGGCCGACGACGACGACGAACTGCGGATGCCCCACCTGTGGAGGGGAACCGCATAGCCTGGCAACGACGACGACGACGACGAGCGACAACGAAGACGACGACTTTGACGGCGACGACGAAACTGCGGAAACAACGCCACATAGAGAACGCAAACATATGAATGGCACATCGCACAATTTACGATAAAACAATGCCCAAAGCGGCATGACAATAAACATACGTTATCCACTGAACCGTAGTCGCAGCAGCAGCAGCAGAGGCAGTAGTAGCACTAGTAGTAGCAAGAGTAGTCGTAGTAGTCGTAGTAGCACTGGTGGCAGTAATACAAGAAATCGTCTAGTAGTCGCAGTCGTATCAGGAAGAGTATAAGTAGTAGTCGTCGTCGTAGTAGTAGAGCTCATGGTAGTACTACCCGTGGAGAGAGTAGTAGTAGTAGTAGTAGTAGTAGTAGTAGTAGTAGTAGTAGTAGTAGTAGTAGTAGTCGTAGTAGTAGTAGTAGTAGTAGAAGAAGTAGTAGTAGTAGTAGTAGTAGTAGTAGTAGTAGTAGTAGTAGTAGTAAGAGTAGTAGTAGTAGTAGTAGTAGTAGTAGTAGTAGTAGTAGTAGTAGTAGTAGTAGTAGCAGTACGAGTAGTAGTAGTAGTAGTAGTAGTAGTAATGCTAGTAGTCGTCGTGGTCGTAGTCGCCGTCGTAGCCGTAGTAGTAGTAGTAATAGTAGTGGCTGCATTCGTAGCAAGAATATAAAACGTAGTGGCATTGGTGGTAGTAGTAGTAGTAGTGGTAGTAGCAGTAAAAGTAGTAGTAGTAGCAGTAGTCAGAACAGTGGAAATAATAGTAGCAATAGTACAAATAGTAGTAGTACTCGGATGATCATCGTGGTGGAAGTAGTAGTAATATTGGTCGTGGAAATAAAAATAAAAGAGTACCAGTAGTAGTAGTTGTTGACATAAGTAGTCGTAGTGGCAATCGTGAGAATACCCGTCGTGGAACTAAAAAATAGCACTGTCGTAGTAGCAATAATAGTCGTAGCAGTAGTAGTAGTAGTAAAATAAAACAGGTAGTACTAGTAGTAATCTTAGTGGTGGTAGTAGTAGTAGTAGCTGTTGTTGTACTATACCATAGTCGTAGCAATCGCAGTAGTAGTAGAAGTAGCAGTAGTAATATAGTGGTACTAGTGGACGTCGTCGTAGTAGTAGTAGTAGTAGTAGTAGTAGTAGTGATAGTAGTACCACCACCACCACTACTACTACTACTACTACTACTACTACTACTACTACTACTACTACTACGACTACTACTACTACTACTACTAGCAGTAAAATTAGTAGTAGTAGTAGTAGGAATAGTAACACAAGTAAGAGTAGTCGTCGTCGTCGTAGCGGGAGTAGTAATACTAGTAATAATAGTAATAGTAGTAGTAGTAGTAGTAGTAGTAGTAGTAGTAGTAGAAGTAGTAGTAGTAGTAGCCGTAGTCGTAGTAGTAGTTATAGTAGTAGTAGTAGTAGTAGTAGCAGAGGCAGTAGTAGTAGTAGTAGTAGTAGTGTCAGTCGTGGTCGTAGTCGTAACTGAAATCATAGTAGTAGTAGTAGTAGTAGTAGTAGTAGTAGTAGTAGTAGTAGTAGTAGTAGTACTAGTAGTAGTAGTAGTGGTAGTAGTAGTAGTAGTCGTAGAAGTATTAGTAGCAGTAGTAGTAGTAGTAGTCGTAGTCGTAGTAATAGTAGTAGTAGTAGTAGTAGTAGTAGTAGTAGTAGTAGTAGTAGTTGTAGTAGTAGTAGTAGTAGTAGTAACAGTAGTAGTAGTAGTAGTAGTAGTAATAGTAGTAGTAGTAGTAGTAATAGTAGTAGTCGTAGTAGTAGTCGTAGTGGTCATGAAATAATGCCTGGGCCTACCACGCGCATGTTTCGGTAACAATCATTGCGGTGTTGGCGGCACCGGCCGCTTCCGCGAAGGTGGTCTCGCCAGCCGAAAACGCCACCGGCACGCCGACCTTGTCGAAAATCGCAATTGCCGCATTGCGCACCACCACGCTCTGAAAATCACTCCACTCCACCGTTCAGCTTGAGCCAGTCGCGGTCGCCCTCCCCCATTGCCAGTAAGGCCGTCAGCTCCGAGTGCGGGTGCACTTGTAGTTTCCTGGCCCGCCGACGACGTGGGCGCGGAGCACGGGGTTGATGCGCGCCTTGCGACCTCCAGCGATGCTCGAGTGCTCGAGGCGATGGCACTGCTGTCTGAGACGAGCGTCGCATTCGCCCCCGTGTGCTCGCACCGAAAGGTGAGCCCCGCGACGGTGGCTCCTGGCCAGACCAAGGACAATCACTCTGCGCGCGTCAGCTGGAGCCACACATATTGATGTCTGCTTGGTTTAAGCTGGCGTTCCAACAGCTTACGCATCGGAAATTGAAGCAATCTCTGTCATTCCAAAAATGATTCGACACTGAAAGCATAGCCAAGCATTGTGATTCCAACAAGGAACTGACGTTTGTAACTCAAGACAATTGAAGACACAACGATACGCCGCATGTAACAGAAACACATGCGCCTGTATATTGGAAACCGATATGCATACATCAAAACCGTGTAAACACACCATGTACCGATCCTCCGGTGATATACAATCAACCCGTAATAACGAGGATCCGCGGTTAGGATGCAAGGGCCTTGGAAGGCCACGTTGACGTTTTGCACACGAGGTTGTCAAGCGGAAGTGGCTAAGGATGCGCCGAAGGAGCCAGGACGCAAGGGCAACCTTGGAACATTGCTCATCCTTGCTATGCGAATTGACTGTGCGTGAAATACGTGCAAGCACACAGTGTACCGACCCTCCAATGTACCGGCCCTCCAGTGGTTTAGGAACATGTGTTGAGTTGTTCCTGATGTCGCGATGCCTTGCCAATCCCTGCCTGCTTTGCAGCCGCTCTCCCTTCTTGGAGGGGCACGCAATGGCGCTGCCGCCGTCGGCCCCGTCTGGCCCGCCCAGTTGCGTGGGCTCCAACAAGACGTGCAGAAAACATCACCACCATCAGTTCGACAAGCAGAATCCTCGCCCTCCACATCCCTCCACCTCCTTGCACCCTCCTCTTCGTCGTCCTCCTCATCCTTGCCGTCCACATCCTTCAAGTCACCTTTCGCCCTCCCCATCGGGGGACGACCAGTTAACGAGGAGTGGAAGAAAGAGGAGCGATGGACAGGGCGGGAGCAGGGGGAGGGAGAAGAAGCATCGAGGAGGACGGAGGGATGGAGAGCACAGGAGCAGGAAGGAGGAGGAGGAGGAGGAGGAGGAGGAAAAGGAGGAGGGGGAGGGGGAGGAGGAGGAGGAGGAGGAGGAGGAGGAGGCGGAGGAGGAGGAGGAGGAGGAGGAGGAGGAGGAGGAGGAGGAGGGGTGGGAGGTAAAGGAAAGGCAGGGAAACAAACTTATACTGATACCGCTACTTCCTGGGCCTGTCCAGGGGCGCGTTCTGACCAGAATTTCGACGCGAATCCAATCGTGGGGACAAAGGTTCCCCAGGACGAGCAGCGGCATCGGCACCTCTGATGAGGAGGGCCACCTATGCCCCAGCTGGCCCGTTCTCATCCCCGACTTCGCCCGACCCTCAGGACTCCCCAGGACCGACCAGCTGTGTGCGGGGCCGCGGAGGGGCCTAGCAGTAGACCCTGCAGCGCCTCCTCCAGGTAGCCTGGGTCCGCCTGCCACCGGGCGGACGCTGCAATGGGAAGGGGCCCGCGGGGTGCTGGCAGGGGGGAGGAGGGAGACAGAGCAAAGAGAGGGCAGACAGAGAGAGAGAGAGAGTTACAGGGAGTATGGTCTGCTATGGGTTTGCGTTAAGCGCGGGGTTAAGCACGGATCAACCGAGCCCGACGTCGGACTCGCACTCTTCGGCGCTGTCGTAGAAAGAAGGATCGAGAGAAAGAAAGAGAGAGAGAGAGAGAGAGAGATGGTGAGAGACAGACAAGGGCGAGTGCACACATGTGAATATACCTGTCATTTCTATACGCATATACGAATAGGTTCCCTACGCAGCGCTTGCTCTTCGGAGTTCTTACTACTGCTCTAAGAAACCGGGCCTGCCTGGCGGCCGGGCGGCTATGTAGCTGTCTTCGCCGCCCAGTCGCCGCCTCGACGCCGCCCGTCGTCTGGGCCTGTCAGCCGGTCTGGCGGCTGTCGTGCCGCCGTCGCTGCCCCGTCGCCGCCTCGTCACTACAAAGAACCCATACTGCACGAACTAAACTGCACAACAAGGACCGCACCACATAGAGCGCACATCATGTAGGGTACAAAGCATAGGTTGTGCAGTACATTCTCTCCATTCTAAGCGGAGTTCAGGATCCCCCCCCCACCCAAGATTTAAACGATCACCTGTTCGTACTGTGATTCACACAGGATTCTGCCAAATCGCCCACCCTATATGTGTATATGTAAATCCGAATTCATACCATCCAAGCCAGGCCGGCAACGCCCCCCATCATCCTCTGCAGCAAATTATGCGCGCATACGTGTATTAAAACTCCAAATTGCAATAATCCCTTGCCAAACAAACGACGAAGGGCACGCGCGCGCGTTGTCGCGTGCACGACGAAATCCTTCAAGAACTGTTGCGGTGTTGTAAAAATTGCAAAAACCGGGTAACCCGAAAAGAAATAAAACACATGGCCCCGCAACCAAAATGTTCCCAAACAGTTTGCGCTTGCGCCCTTGCGAAGTTTAAAACCAATGTGTTCAACTGTTTCGTAAACGTGGCGAAATCGTTCGAAAGCCGTTGCACGCGTGCTGTCGCAAAAACCCCGTGCAACAAAAATCGGGACGAAGTGCGCGCGCGTCTTCGCGCGCATGCCGAAAGTATTTGTTTTGTGTTAAACCGTAACGATATAAAAAGACGTCGGTTCCTAAAACATGTCCACATCTACTGCCCCAGGAATATTTAAAACACATGGTTGTGCAAAATCAGCGTTTTAAACAAATGCGCCCCCGCTCTTGCGATTCGGTTGGGTCGCTTATGTGGTTCGCAACATGTTCAACACTGTCTTGCCAAACGGACCATTCGCGCCGCATGTCGACATCATCCGGACGTCCCTGCGCGCGCTGGGGGGAGGGGGCACGGTCCGTGTCAAGTAACTCCATGCGGGCCACTATCGCGCGTCGGCCCCGCGCGCATGTCGAACCCCTTCCAAAACCTACGCGAAGGCCGTCATCGTCGCCAGCGTGATCAACATCGGCGCCGTGACTAGCCGTGACGTCACCGTTGTCATCATCACCACCAACGCCGCTACTAGCATCATCGGGTCTGTCGTTGTCGCCGTTGCCGTGATGCCGCGCCCGTCCGAGCTGCCGGCTCGCAATGAAATACACATTGGGAAATGCCCTGAGGATAGCGTCGCCGCGGCCGCGTTTGTCGCGTCAAACTAACTGGCCGCTGCGCGCGCGAGCGTGCGCTGGCTAGTGCGGCCGCAAAGAAGCACCAGGCAACACCAAGCACTCATCGCCATAGTTTCCGCATGTGTTTTGCGAAACGCCAAACAAGTGCCCACGAGGCCCAACAAAAAAAACAGATGATGCGCCCATGAGGTTCCAGTTGGACACCCACGGGGGCTCCCCAAAACAATTCCGAAAGGCATCCAAGAGGCCTCTGGCCTTTCTACTCGCCTTGTGTTTCCTCCTCCTCCTCCTCTTTCTCCTTTTCGCCCTCCTCCTCCTCCTTATCCTCCTCCTTCTCCTCCTCCTCCTCTTCTCCCTCATTCGCACATGCCTCTTCCTGCCTCCTCCTTTATCCCCCCCTTTTTATTCCTCCTTTTCCTCCTCATCTTCCTCCTCCTCCTCATCGTCATCATCAAGTTGCCCCTTCCCCGATTCATCCTCCATCCTCCCCCTCTTGGTGTACGACGTCTTACGCAACCCTGTATTCCACGGCATGCTCCTCCACATTCCCGATCAGGGGAACTCGTATGGCCATCGTTCCTGGATGGGTTGGCGGGGCTACTTTTGGTTAGCGGGCGCGCGGAACGAGTCGAACGCGGAGCGTGTTAGGGCGGGCCGCGCCCGTAGCGAAATGAGAAGCAGCGCAAGCGGAGGCGCGCGAGGAGCCGCGATACAGACCAGCGGCAGAAGAGCGCACTGTTGCCGAAAACCACGCGAGCGCGAAAAAAATGGCGAACCGGAAGCACATAAAGTGCCCCAGGAGCACGAAGAGGACGCCGAAGAGGACGGAGGCGGATGAGGGTGGACCGTCGCACCGAACGAAATACCGGCGTGCCAAAGTGGAAGACGCAGCCAAAACGGCGCGAGGGAGGCGAACGGGTGGCGGTAGAGGGTGCCGGCGACGCGCAAGCAGGACCAAGTGAAATAGTACAGACGGCACCCTGGGTAAGCGGGAGAAGCATGAAGGGGGCGACCACGCCAAACGGCAACAGTCGCCAAGAAACCGTGACCAGCGCATCCCAAAGGACAACTTTGCCGCACGGGTAGAACTTCGTATGGCCGTCAACCGACACCGTGAACCCCGCGAGCGCGAACCAGAAAACAAAGCTGATCGGCACGAACGGACCATGCGACTGAAGACGCTCACAAGTGAAAGCCCAATCAGTACCAGGGGCCAAGGAGAAACTGTGTCGAACAAGTAGGACTTCAAAAGGCCGTCGGCTGACACCTTGCGCATCACGTGCGCGAGCCCGAAGGCAAAAGGAACGGCACGAGAAAACCGTGCAACTGAACGCCGCAGCCCGAGGGTGGAGCGGCGGGGGGCCGTGCGAGGCCGGTGCCCGCAAGCGCCTGCCAGGGGGACCGTGTCGCCTTGGGCGCAGCGGGCCACTGGCACGGGCGGGGCCAAAGCGTCCGAACAACCAACATGAACCCTTGCGGCGGCCATCACGCGGCGGGGCGGACGGGAACGAAGCCCCAGCATCAGGACAAAATCCGAAAGAGGCTCATGGGAGGCAAGTGATCGCCGCAAGCTCTCGGAAGGCCCCGGCAGGGGAATACCCGTAGTAAGCAGCTGATCGCTGCAAGCACTCGAAAAGCCTCGGCGGAGGAATACCCATGGCAAGCAAGAAAGGCGGATCGATCCGGCCTGAAGGGGCGCACGAAGACGGGGTCAAAGGCTCCTGTCGCGATGTTCCTGGCGCGCGGCTCTCGATCGCCCCGTCAGCAAATGCTTTACCAGCCCCGGCAGAGGAATACCCAAAGTGGACAGGCAGCTGATCGTTGCAGGTACGTTGAAGACCTCGGCAGAGCAGAGGTATACCCAAGGTGATTGGCGCTGGGACTCGCACTGTTGAAAGGGAGGGCGGTGTCTCGAACCGGCTCGAAAAGGGCGCAGGAAAATTGGGTCGAGGGCCCCGGTCGTGCTGTTTCTTTGAGAATTGTTCTCGATTGTTCCGTCTGGATGGCCGCGGCCTCCGTCGTCTCGTCTGTGACGGAGGATCCGCCGCTTCCCCAGGGCGGTCTGTCCCCAGGTTGTCGGCGTCGGCGTCGGCGTCGTGAGCGTCGTGGCCGTCGTCGTCTTGGATATGAAGAACATCAGTTGCACGACATCGGTTCCACAAATAGATTTTACACACAGTAGATTCGGCCACGTGCATTGCACAGCATATATATGTGTATTGAAAACACCGATTGAACTCCATAGACTGCACAACACATGTTACATCTTGTAGATTGCAGAGCACGGATGGCAAAGCAGCGATTGCACAACATCAATTCTCCAACATAAACTGCACAACACCGTGTGAACAACATAGAGTACATCACACCTGTTGTTCCAATTATATTGCTAGAAGCATACCGCTTGGGATCGACGCTTTCTATATTATAAGAGTGCGTATGTGCATGTAGAAAATGCTTCTTTGTATGTTCATAAACAGAAGAGGGAGGCACTATATCCACAACCCCGCTTCGCGTTCGATTGTGATCTAACATGCCTGCTCGACTAGCTCACAAGCGCACAGTCTCGAACCGACACGTTGAAGCAATCGCAAGAGCTCACACGGATACGACGCGTGTTAACTTACCCGCTGGCGATCTCCAATGCGAAACCATAAAACTGCCATACATAACAATGGCACCACTGCAACGTATCACGGTACCTTTGCAATGCGAACCAACACGCTGTAAAGCTAACGCATTGACAACGCAGGGCTAGCAATGGAATGTGATGACCACGCATGAATGCAAAGAACTGCCTTGGCAACACAATGCGACGGACCGCAAACCAGAGGAGAACAACCCCAGAGCATCGATACCGCACCACAATCGTCATTGTGAGCGTGCATCGTCGTCACGAGATGAGTCGTATAGTGCTTAATTGTTGTCGTCGTCGCCGCCGTTGCCTTCGCCAGCCCGCGCCTGCACGTTTGGCCGCACAATTGGGCTCGTCTTGAGGCCCTCCGTGGGCTTTCTCGGGGCCAGCTCGCGGCGTCCGTAGGGCATGTTTGGGTTTTCTTGAGCCCTCGAAAGCTCTCTGATGCCCATCGTGGCGGCGTCTCTTGGCGCGCTGCCTCAAGAAGGCATGTTCGGTGTCTCTTGGCGTCTGCTGCGACGGCAATCGGACGTTTCCGTCGCCATCGCGGAGCCGTTCCCCGACCCCATTCACCTCAAGATTTCTGGGAATATGGCGAGTCCTGTGTGGAAGGCTAAGGGCAAACAAACGGACATGCACGCACACGTAACTACATACATCCATATCGGCGACGATCGA